AGTTAGAAGTTTGATGGCGGGGGCCTTTTTGCATCTCACTCTTCAGTCTTGCACGGACTTACTTCCTTGCCATCAATAATTTTCAATAAATGCAAAAATTACAGCAATTAGCCATTTCAAAGGTCGAAATAGTACAGAAGCGTATTTTGGTGTGTATATATATATGGGGGGGTGTTAAAGTATTTGGGGGTTATTTGTGTTTTTTCAATTTACTGGATTTTGTTCTCAGTATAAGAATGACCTCTCACATAAGAGTAATTTTTTTAAGCAGAATGGAAAAAAAGCAAGACTAAAAAGTCAATCATTAGCTAAAACCCAACCTTAACTGCAAAATACACAAAACCTATAACCTATTCGAGGTGGGGTACTGCAAGCCCTCAGGTCCCAAAGATGATCACGTTCCTCACTGCGTGCATGGTGTAATAATCCTCACCAGGCACCTCTGTGACCTGTCCTTTTGGATTTTTCGTGTTGGAGGGTGGAATTTGGCCACTGCTGAGTGCATTTTAGTTGCACTAGCACTCTGTTTCCATTGCCACAATCCAGGAACTTTGAAGCAGGTGAAATTAGCTTTGACTGGTTTAATGGTGTCTGTGAAGCAAGAGTCTGTACTTAGGCTGTCTGAGCTGGTCTAACAGTTCACTGCTGCTCAAAAGGGTGAGCTCACCTTCTGCCTTCAGCTATCTCTAGTGGTTTATTTGTCCCCTTTGTGAACAAGCTCAGCTCAACCAGCCAGGAAAAAAAAGCAAGTACCAAAAAAATCCAATACTTTGAGAGGCTTTGTAGCTTCCCTGAGAGCCAGAGCTGGTGTGGAGATGGCAGGTAGGGAGAGGAGGAAGAGAGGCAACAGATGTACCTGTTTTCATGGCAGCAAGTTTTTAAATTGTCTTAGACTTCTAAGGAAACCTCTGCTTTCTGCAGTACTCACTTTGGTTGACACTTGTTAATGACAAGGTGCTCTGCAGTGCTCCAGCCTGCTGACAGTGTTGGCAGCAAGCCAGCCACATGCCATGCTATGTTGTAAAACAACTGAAAGTAGTGAAATGTTCCTTTCCTACGGGTGCAATTTCTGTAGGTAGCATAGGGATCGAAAACACCCGGTGTGCTTGTTGTTGAGGCTGTTTCTCTTGTGATTTTGAAGAACTGACAGCAAAAGTATCCCGACAGCAAGGGATGTCCTGTAACGAGCTCCCTTGACAGGAGCAGCCACACCGTTTATTGGCCACCTCAGGTCCTACCTCCTTCCTCGCGGCACCTGTGGCCCCTGTACGTGCTTCCGCGTGAGGGCAAAGGCCTGCCAGAGCCCTTGTTTCGGCGTAGGCATCTGTGACCAGGTAAATCTGCGCGGAAGCTCTGGCCTCGTGTCGTGAGCATTTCGGTATCGCCGCTGAGGCCTCTGCTCCTCCAGTCCCGCGCTTAATGAGAGCGGAGGGGCTGAAATGTCGGGGGGGAACTCTTCCTAGCGGCGATAGCGTTTGAAAGGTCGCGGAGGCGGTGGGGCGGGGCCGCGTTGCCATGGCAAC